CTACTGCTACTGCGACTGCGACTGTGACTGCTACTGCTACTTCTGCTGCTACTACGACGACGATTACGACTACGACGACGACGACGACAACGACGACGACGACGACGACGAACACAACCGCCACCACAACCACCATCACCACCACCGAACGACAATGACGACAACAACGACCACGACAACAACAACAACAACAACATCAACAACAACAACAGCAACAACAACCCCCACAACGAAGAGGACTGCATGAAGATAAAATTGCCATGCTGACGGCTAAGGGTCACAGCAGCAACCAAAGAATAATACCTCGTCTACGCAGCACAACTGTAGCTTACCCTTTTCTCCAACACAACCCCCGCACCGTCGCTCTTCGGCAGATTGAAGCGTAGACCGACGAGTCCGCTCTTCAGACCTCAAGGGCTTTGTTGCAGGGCTCTGATATCCGTTCTCAAGGAGGTGCTGGCTGCGCATCGCTGCGCTCGACGGAACTATACTATCATGCAGGGTCATCTACTCGCACCAGAGGGTACAAAACTACACCAATGCCTCATCGAACGGTCTGTTGAGACGAGGGTCGATCCTCCAGCCACTTCGTCATGCCCTTTTCTTCGTACGTGCCTGCCTGGCCAGAATGCCATCATGCCAACCAAGACATGCATGAAGCTTGGAATCGTATGCCACATTCTGTATGAGCGTGTGCGGCCAAAAGGTTTCCAATGAACAGCGCGGCTGAAATCATGTCATATGCTTATGCTGATGCTTTCCCGAAAGGACTTTTCCCATTTCGCTGCCTGGTTCCACTGGCTGCCACCGCCCTTGACATCGTCCGCCTTTCAAAGAAGCGCCGGAAGTCACCGGCGACACGGCACAGAGGACACGGTGCCTCCACGGGAGCGTCCAGCTTCTTCGGCTTCCCGAAGCCCTGGGCCTCGATGAGCTTCTTCGCCTGCAAACGCAAGCAGGGAGCGCAGGGGAAAGTGGGGCACACTGTCCCTTGCTCGCGCAATCGCTGCTGCATTGCGCTGTTTGGCGTAAGCGTGCTGTCAAGGGGGCCCAATGAAATTCTCCGCACTTCGAGACATGCGCCTCATCCGAGATGTCTGTGTGGAAATACGAGGTGGTCCTGCCATCCTGCAGCAGTGCAACCGAAAGCCATCAAAACACACTTGAACTTCTTTTTCGGGACTTCCTATGCTTCCGAGGCACGGCGGTCTTCTTGTACCCCCGCATTTCGCCGCTCTCATTCTCTTTGTCTGCCTTGTCCTGCCATATGGAATGAGGAGCAATTTCCACGACAGCTCGGCTTGTTGCTCAATACATCTCAATACTCGTCATGCAGAAACTGAACTCAAAAAGCCTGATCTCGACTGCAGTTTTGAAGTGATGCTCAACCAAATTTGAAGCTAGTGCAACGTTTGGTCAGGTTCGACAAGCCTTACAGTCGGACGTCCCCCTGTCCCGTGGCACCCCATTATCAGAAGTCTCTCAAAGCCACCTTGGGCTTTGGTGGAGCTCTCGCGGTGGAGGCGTTGTGGAGCTCCACGCGAACGTCCTGGTCAGGAAGAGAGCAGACACGCTGGCCTTCAACAGACCGCCTGGCTTCGTTAAGGCCAGCCATCTAGGGCCCTGCAGCTAACATCCCAACAGTGCGAGGTCCGCAACTTGATTCCATGCACAGGATCGAGGGATTCTGACATTTAGGATGCTCGTCACTTGACTGCAAGGTCTCGACACCACACGCCCTTCTCCACACGACCTGTGATAAATCTTGATCGAGAAAACTAAACCAGGATCCAGGCTTCAGGAAATTGTTCATGGCTTCCGCACCCTCCCCCCAAAATTGCCAGCTGCGAGCCCGAAGATGGCATGAAGAAACGGTCAATGATCAACTGTCGATTACAGCTTGGCTGATCTTCTTGCTTTGCGATAAACTTGATCTTGAACCTGAATTGGTCTTCACCACACAGGCTCCACAAAAGCCATCTCCGGAACCTTTGTGGAGTGCGCCATCCACTCCAAAACTCGGATCTGTCGCGAGCTGTGTTTGCCACAGAAAATCCATCTGTCAGAGAGCGCAAGCACAGTGCGACAGCCTTGGGTTCTAGTCGACGACCCACCCAAACCATGGCTGGCGGTCTGATGCATGTTGAGGCATCACCCACCAACTCTTCATCTTCAAACCTCTTACAACAAGAACTTTCCACCATCCCGTCGCATCTTAACAAGCTGGCTGGAACAGCAGTGCATGACCAGCCGGAAAGGCAATCGCTCCAATCGCAGGTCTCCCGGGTCCTGGGCATCAGCCTTGAGCTTCGCCTTGTCGGCGGCATCCTTCTCCTGGTCCTTCTTTGCCTGGGAAGTGACCCGTGCAGAAGTTCAAGCCTGCTAAGACTTGAAGCTTTACTGCGCAGGCCTTCTCGATGAGCTCGGGGAAGGCTTTGTTCTCGGGATCCAGCTTGGAGCCTTCCTTCCGAAGAGAATCACCGCTTTCCACACAGCAGCGCAAGGACGCACTTCGTACCCAGCAGCAGACCCGGACGAGGCCTCTGCCGCCTTGATGGCCTCATCCCATTCTGAAAGCCGGAGAAGGGCCTCCGCCAGCAAAGCTGAAACAGAAGCGCACTGTGGTGCTGTCGGATTTCAATTTTGGATGGCAGTTGCAAGATAACATGAACGATCAACCGGTCTGCTAGCACCAGCAGCAGTAGCATACATGGCCATGACCACAATGAGCACAGAGGGACTTCAAATCTTCAACTATGCAGCGGAGTAGGCCTGGGCCTTCCTGTGGTGGGCTTTCACAAACTTCGGGTCCAGCTCCAGGCCTCACAACCACAAACCGCAAAGCACAAAGCCGCGCCGAGCAAGTCCCCCCCCCCTAGCCCTAGTCCCCTATCCAACAGCTGCAGGTAAGCTCGCGGCATTTCTTGGCATCCTCGAGTGCTCCCTCCACCTGAAGGTGAATCCACATGCTGCCCGAGCCTGTGCTCGTCATCAGCTTCAAACCAACATCATCCCAGTCATAGTCCTGCCCTGGCCCGGTGCTGCCTTGTTGAGATTCAGCCGCACCATCGATCTGTTAGAGTACCTTTGAAAAGCCCAACTGCATCAGGAAGCTCGAATGACAGCTACTAGTATCCTGCTTCCAGCAGAGAGGTAACACACCAAAGGCAGCAGGAAAGGAAGAACTGTGAATCTAAAATCGAGTATTACGTTCATCTCGTGGCCACCTGCAGTGCTAGCAATGCTGCAGCCTCGAAACTTTGCAAACCATGAACCTGCGCTCCAAACTCTTGTGCAGTTGGACGGCTGCACACTATTGAGAATTCCCCAGACGGCCCTGCTCTGGGTGCCCCTGCAAGGTAGCTTCCATCTTTTCAGGCATCGAGGACAGGAGAGAGATGGCCTTCACCCAGCAGAGAGTTTTGGGTGAGCACGAGCTTGACCCCATCCCAGCCTTGCCATAAAGAAGCTCTGCACTCGGCATGTCCTGAAAGACTCCGAATGCAGAATTTTTACAACATATCCAACACCTGACGCAGACAAGGAAAACGCCCATGAAGGGACGCACTGGATCCTTCTGCGCGAAGGCACCTTTGGCTCGATTCTTGACCTGTTTGGCAGCTTTTGAAGGAGAGCTGGCTAGCACCGAACCGCATGGCAAGATGTGCACGTTTCCAAGTCTGCCCTGTGAGCGTGTATCGGAAAATCCCGTGGACCTAGCGGCGCCCCCGAGCACGAAGGAAGCAACTCCCTCGTGAGGTGTATAGAACACACCCCGTGCTCATGGGCGGAGAAGGGAGCTAGAGAGGCCTTGCAACGCCTTTCACTGAAACTGCGTTTGTCTCCGTTCTCATGTTGCAAGGCCCATCTCAAAGCCTGGGAGGCCAAAACTCTTGTCCGATCTCAGTAGACTTCCACGTGGTAGCGGTCGGCCTGGTCACAGCAAGCTGTGCTTCACGGAAAGCTCTGCTGCTGCTCAGCGATCTGCCTTCTTCATGGCCTTGGCGAACTCCGCCCAGTCCTGTTGTGAGTCTATCCGGGTCTGCCAGGCTCAGAAACAGGCTGCTTAGCTCTCACAGACCTTGCCAGCTTTCTCTGCGATGGGGCCAAAGCAATCGGCCATGCCAGACTCCATGCCTGCCGGCGGTCAAAGATTGTGTATGACCGAGGGGGCCCTGAACCCTGGACTGGTGTTGCACATCCTGTCGCGCGCGCGACTCACCACCGCCACCGCTCAGCTCGGCAAATATCACCACACAATCGATTGTCTGTTGGGCTTTGGGCTTAGGTGTCCAGGCCTCGAAGGCTGCAACTCGTGACTTGTTTACAGTTTACAGTACTCTGCGACAAGAGAATTCAAGCTAGATTGGCTCCCAAAATGCTTTGGCAAGCTCACCTTTCAGACCGCACATATAGACGTGGGTCTTCTCGTCCTGCATGAGCTCCCAGAGCTCGTCCTTAGGCAGGCTCGGATCTTCTGACGAGACTTTTGGCACGTCGACTTTTGAGCGGAGATGGGGCGGCTCCGAGAATGAGTCCAGCCTTCGCCTCAAACCTCGTGGCCACATGGCATGGTTGCGATAACAAAAGCTGAACGGCAGCATACTTTGCCATCTTGGTCTGGATATACCTGAATGGCAGGGCTCATGCCTCAAGCACGAGCGACATACTACTACTGCTGCTGCTGCTGCTCTTGCTACTGTTACTGCGATTATTCTTGCTACTGCACCTATTGCTGCTACTACTACTACTGCTGCTGCTGCTACTACGTCTACTACTACTAC